ATTATACAAGCTCAAATTTAACTAGTATGGGGCCAAGAATCTTGGTCCCTGTTCCCTTATCATCTATGTACATACTGTAGGCCCTGTCGCGATACGACATGGAAGAGGATTCCGTGCTATTTTCCAGGCAACGTCGGTGTTGGACTGTTTGTGCCGTTGCCAACCCACTTTGCCGTGCTTCCCTTCGCTTTAAAGGTATGCCTTGGCCGGTGTGGAGCTAGTCTGTGTCTGGAGTCTGGACGCGGTTTCTGGAGATACCAACCATTCAGCCCGATAACAGTCGACAAGCCTGTTGTTGCTAGTCGTTTAACAAAAGCGACTTCTTTCCCACTCATCCTGACGCTGATCTTCTTCCTCACTCCCCTTTCCTTCGTTCCGCAAAGCCTGCCAGACTTCATGTGTCGCAAACTTTACATGCTGCTGTGATTGAATCTTTTAATCCCACCCGTTCTTGGTTCATTCTTGTGGTACCGCTTAACGGCTGCGGCCTTCATTCCCCTTTCATCCGGTGCTACCACAATGAAGGAGTCGCATACAGAGAAGCACCCGAGCTCCGGCGACGCGATGACCGCCGAGCTCGGTAGCATCCGGAATGTCGACTCGGAAGACAAGATGGGTCACCTGCATCGGAGGCTCAACAATCGCCAAATCCAGCTCATCGCAGCAGGTGGATCCATTGGAACGGCACTCTTCATTAGCATCGGCGGTGGTCTCGCCAAAGGTGGTCCCGGCAGCTTGCTGATTGCTTACACCGTTTACACCCTGATTCTCGCTCTCGTCAACAATTCTGTTGCTGAGATGAACACGTATATGCCCGTCGCAGGTGGCTTTGTCCGTCTCGCTGGGTATTGGGTCGATGACGCACTTGGATTTCTTGCCGGATGGAACTTTTTCCTCTACGAAGCCATCTTGATTCCCTTTGAGATTACTGCTCTCAACATCGTCATTTCGTTTTGGAGTGACGAAGTCGTTAAACCAGGACCGACAGCGGGGATTTGTGCTGCTGTGATCATTCTTTATGGGTAAGAAAATCGTTCTAATTTGCAGGCCCCCTCTGCTTCTATCTCTTACCCCCTTTTATGAAGGGGAGACCTGCTGAAAACATAAACGCAATGTAACACTTACCTTTGTCCACAGGTTGATCAACGTTCTAGCGGTACGGGGTTATGGCGAAGCTGAGTTCTGGCTTTCCGGAGGCAAGCTGATATTGATCTTCATGCTTTTCGCTTTCACATTTGTGACTATGGTCGGCGGCAACCCTCAACGTGATGCATACGGCTTCCGCCACTTTACAAACCCCGGCTCATTTGCAACATATCTATCGGGCGGCGACCTGGGTCGTTTCGAAGGGTTTCTCGCCGCACTTTTCAGTGCCTCCTTCACCGTCGTCGGTCCTGAGTACATCTCCATGGTATCTGCTGAAGCCCAACGCCCAAGCATTTATATCAAATCAGCATTCATTACCGTCTACTACCGGTTCTGTATCTTCTTCATCATTGGCGCACTGGCTGTTGGCATCGTAGTTCCGTACAATCACCCGACCCTAGTCGATCTCTACTTTGGGGACGGTGGTGGCGGTACTGCCGCGGCTTCTCCGTATGTGATTGCCATGGAGACCCTCGGTATTGGCGTGCTTCCTCACATCGTTAACGCACTCATCCTTACATCTATCTTCTCGGCTGGCAATACCTACACCTACTGTGCCACTAGAGCGCTCTACTCGCTATCCCTCGAAGGACGAGCGCCTCGTTTCCTACGTCGCTGTAACAAGAATGGAACTCCCATTTACTGTTTTGCCATTGTTATGCTATTCCCGATGCTGTCTTTCCTCCAAGTTAGCAGCAGTTCTGCCGTTGTTATTACGTGGCTGACTGCGCTTATCACGGGAGGCGGGCTGATCAGCTTCATCATCATGTCGATCACGTTTATCAACTATCATAAGGCCTGTGTCGCTCAGGGAGTTGACCGCAAAACCCGACCCTACTATGGATATTTCCAGCCTTACGGTGCATATATTGCTTTGGGATTTCAGCTACTCATTCTCTTGGTGTACGGTTACTACGCGTTCCGCCCATGGTCAGTAGAGCTGTTCTTCCAGAGCTACACTATGCAGATACTAGCTGTCGTTCTGTTTTGTGGATGGAAGCTTTTTAAGAAGACCAGATACATAAGACCTCACGAGGTCGATCTTGTTTGGGAGCGGCCTTTGATCGAAGCCTATGAAGATTCCCTGGTTGATCCGCCAGTTGGCTTTTGGACTGAAATGGCGCAAATGATTGGACTCAGAAGAAACAAGGTAGACTTTCGTTAATCCCTCTATGGACCAAGAGAAGCTGACATTGTTAGGTTTAATAACCCTCTCTCACAACAAATTTCGTACAAGACACCTTAACGTACTAAGATCCCATATATTAATTCATTCATGCTTTTGCCATCGGCTTGGAAAAGCTTGTAGCACTTTGAGCTGATACTGATTGTGTCGTTCGCTATGCGCATGACTTTGCTCTACTGGCCTGCCACGCCTGACTGGCCGTGAGCCTGGAAAAGAGGGTGGCAGGGGATATTGCCCAGATGGAGCACAACCCAGAGACCACAAGATCCACAGAAACTGACTAGAATCTGAAAAGAGAATTGGCATAGAAAGACTCACCATTGCAGTTCTTAAGGACAAAGCAGAGTGCTGGCCGGAGAGTCCCACTTTACGTGGCCGTCATGAACTGTATAACAATCTTTCATCTGTTATTAAAGGCCATTAGACATTCCAAGCAGATTTGAAGGATGCGCGAGGTGGCTGCGATTCGAGACTCCCCTATCTGACCGCTTCCAAATCCCGATGTAAATGATGTCTATCTTGAGAGTCAGATCCACATTTCCAGGCTCTCAGCAGCACAGCGTGCGCTGTAACTTGCTGCAAAACCAGGATCGAGACTTTGCGTCGCCACGATTATAACTGGGAAGCTTAGAATTGAGATGAGCAAAAGCTAGTGGCTGGTCGTTCTCTACATATAAGGTATCATTCATCGATGACGGCATCTACTGCGTAAGTGATCACACAGCCGGCGCCGAGTAAAGCTTGCACATTCCTAGAGTGTATACGTACCTAGACAGCCCCAGGCAATACAAACAAAGAGGAGCTGGGGCTTGATATTAGAAAGACCAATCGACGAGAAGTACACGTTCACAAAACAAGCCTGTTCATCATCTATCTTCTTAATTTCCGCGGTATGATCAGTACTAGTCTGTGGATCAAATTGGTTTTATGACCTTCCATTTTCGCCCCCGAACTGCTACGCAGGATCCTCAATTTGTCGTACAGGCTCGCCAGAATTGTTTTAGCGCCATGTCGATTTTGGAGAGCAGGTTGGTGGAAGATAAGGTTATATTAAAGCCCGGCGACGATCCTAGATGGCTCGCCGGAAACATAGTCTTGGAACGGCAGTTGAGCTTGACGCCTGCGGGGAAATGGGTTAAATATGTCACAATTGAGGGGCCTTTCTCGGGCCAAGTATCTCTATTGGGCGCTCGGTGTCATACTCGCCGGGTGATTCAAATCCGGGACCTTTCCCATGTGCGTCGAATCACACCATCCAGGGATGCGAAGCGAGGCTAGCATTGTCGCCAGTCCACGGCACCGAAATCTGCAAATCAGCATTTCCTTACGAAAAACTACCTGGGACTCTTGCAATCAAGTCCGAGATGAGAGCCGAGCCCGCAAAACTGAAGAGGTATAAGAAGATGTCATTTTCACTCTTTCGAGTGGCGCTCATAACAACACAACTTACGAGTCACTCCTCCTTCTTGTAGAGCATCGGTCAACATACACTGCCAATCATTGGAGAGAAACTTTGTCACAAACTTACCACCATGAAGCTGTCTCTTCTCATGACAGCTGCAACTTACGCCGCAGCTGTGCAGAGCGCAATCACTTGGAGCCTCGAGAAGGCCGCAAGCCCTACGGCGGATCAGACAGACGCCTATAACAAAATCGAAGCTGCAATGCGTCTTGCTGTTGCCCGTCATTCTCGCCTCGGAAGCGCAACAAAGAACTTGCGCGTTTACTATACTCCTGGCGTACCAACTGCGGAGGCAAATTACAACGGCGACGTCAGATTTGGCTCAAACCGAGCATATATGAATGAGAGAACGGCCCTTCATGAGGTCTCTCATACTCTGGGAGTTGGTCAAACTGCTGCGTTCGATCGGAAGTGCGCTGCTGGAGATTGGGCCACTGCGCTGCCATTACTACGGTCGTGGGATGGCTCAGGAGCAGTCATCAACTGTGGTGGTTCGCACATTTGGCCTTATGGGCTGAACTACGATACTGAGTGGAGTGAGACAAACGCCAACCGCCATGTACAACTCATAAATTCTATGATACGGGATGGCATGTAGCTGGTGTTAGCGTATTTGACGAAGGAGTTTGGTCTAAACTGTCGAAGACATCCTTGTCTGCAGCTATCGTCTTTTTCGCCAACGCGTCTTGTATCATTGGATTTTCTGGGGCTTAGTATGAAATCCAAGTGACATTAGAATCAAATTGACGAATATTCCACCTATTTACTCGATCGAAAATGAGCTATGGCTATGGGTCAACAGTATTACCAAGTGCAATCAGACGTTCTGAGGCACGGGAAATTAGATCAATGATGCCTTTGTTCTCTGTATTTGCATTTTTCGAATTGCCTAGTCACGCACAGAAGTAGAATAAGAGATGAGCCTCCTACTGATAACGGGGAATAGGCTGCGTCAGCCCTTGAGCAAGGAGTATACTTCTAGCTATTCTAGTTTCAATATTTGCTCTGCCTATCGCGAAAAAGCCATCGATATACTCCAAAAAATCATTGTTCCCGTGTATGTTGTGCGTATTACTAGGCCGTAAACCCCATTTAGAATATAAGTTCCAAACATCATATACACCTCCTCCAAAATACCTCAAGCTATGCAATCCTCTGCCTCGTCCCACACCTTACTTGACTTGTCCAGACAGTCAAATAGCTTCCTTACATGATGAGCAAACGAGCTTCAGGGAGCTGAGAAGCCCAGCGAAGTCCAAAGAGCTGACGATCCCAGATTCTTTCTAGATGATTAAGAGCCTTTAAGATGTTCTCAAAATGACTCTTCTGGTGACATTCACGTAGAGTGATTCTGAAAAAGTCCTTATGCTCATCCGTCATGCATCCTGAAGCTGCCACAAAGAATGCCCAAACCAACACTTCTCTTCCTGGTGAGTCAGCGGGGAATGATTGGAAAGTTTCGATGAACAATTGCACTCTCTCGACAGATTTCTTCATGTGATTATCAAGACTGATTACGGCAGACTGTGATATCATCACATTAGTACCTGCTCTGTGGAGATAGATATTGTGCGACTGCTGAACTAGATTCATAATGCGCGATACTGTCTCCGAATGCTCTGGTCGCTGCTGCGAGCAGTATTTCATGCATTCGAATGCTCTAGTGACTTGCTTTCGTGAAGATAGAGTCAGAATGCCACTATCCTCGCTCAGAAGAGGAGCTGAATATACGCGTAATCTGCCAGGCCACAAATTAGTTCACCGTTCAAAAGGGAAACTTCCGGCTGTGCCACCGAGCACCTGGTCTCCCTACCTTACCACGAGATAATCGAATCTAAGTCACTTACTTGTAAACCTGGCGCATTATAAAGGCTGAAAGCTCATCGTGTCCCAGAGAGTCTTCTCCACCAATAGTTGCCAGTGCAGATTCTAGGAGACGAAACAATATTGGGAAGTCATCCGATCCTGTCACCATGGCGGAAACAAGTAGGACAAGTATGACGACTAATGTGCAAATCTTACTTGAACGATCATGGGCTTCGAGGTCACGTCGTCTTCCTAGATCATGAATTGTTGTTGCGTATAGCTGCATCGGAACCACCGACGTGTTGTGTAGCCTTGACCTTGTGACCTGGTGCGTGTTGCCCTCAGACTCGGCCGTACGTCTTTGATTACTTAAATGAAACGAAGAAACGGCGAGCACGGATTTCAATACTAAGGGATCCATATGAGCGATAGGTAGAACAAGGTGGCGCCAGCCGTTATGGTGACCATCCGCGGCCACCATTTCTACCGCAATGTGGGCTGAGACTGAAGATGTGATTGTTAGCAGCGCGTTATAGTTACAGAAAGAATATCATGTCATTACAATACGACAGCAAATGAGTCTCCCAAGGGGTCAAGTTGCTTGAGGTTGGTTGATGAGTGAAACAGCGGGTGGCAGCGGCTTCCATCTCGGACCATAGAGTAGCAGGCCTGTCTAAACTCTCGAGAATAATATTATGAACGGTGTTTTCATGCCGTCCGGAGGGCACAATAGTAGCACCGTCGGACTCTACGTGAGCTGGCCCAGCTGAATTCTCGCACATCATTAGCTGGTGGGAATAATCCAGAGTAGACGGTAGCTGGTCCCAGACCTTGTGCCATGCCGACCGGACCTGAAGTCGGAGAGAAGTGCCTTTTTCTTGTTGTGCGCCATATTTGTACACTATGGTAGCCCCGTTCGTGGTCTCGTGGTCTTTTAAGTGGTTACTTCCCAACATTCTCAGCCAACGACATCGCGTGTTTGCACTCACTGTTCGTATGCTTGCTGAACGGTTTTGCCTCTCCAAAAGCCTCGCGATGCCGCCCCATCGCTGAATCGATGTCGAACCCCTAGACCGCTGCACTTTAACCCTTTCCTGGAGCACTTCTCACATTCAGGCTCCGCGCGATCGCAGCTGATCCGACGCTTCGAGCATTCGTAGCAACCTGCCGCCGATATCGATCAGTTTCAAGGAGATAGATGGGTATTATAAGACGGCGAATCTGGAAGAAGTACCGACCTCTTATCTTAGGTCGATAGGGCCGGGGCTTGCGGGATACCATTCTGAGTTAGGTTGCTCAACTGAAGCATTATTGAGGCTGAGTCATGCAAAGGCGAGATACAATAGATCATACGTGGGATCTTAGACATGAATAGTCTCATTAATTGTTGCTCAGGTGGCGATTTCTTCTCTCGAAATCAGTTGTTTGAGGAGAAACTGCGTTGGGCGGCTTCATGCTCGATGTTTCTTGGGACTCAACGCCACTCGCCTCCTTCAATGAGACCCGAGATCCCAGGCTAGCCAGGCTAGTCCTTAAAAAGGAGGTTAAGTGAGACCAACGTTAGGAAACAAAGGGAACCCACCCGCCCGCATGTGAATCGATTCCGTAATAATTACCCCGCACCTTCTCAGTACCGAAATTCAGGAGATTAGTCGAAGGACGCCGGAAACATGTCAATTTAGGTCCACGAGACGACCTAAAGATCTGTATGAGATCCTTCACTACGACTGTGGATGGCTAAGTGGCATTCTGCATGTCGCCTCATGCCGCTAGCTGTAGCTCCTGAGCGATGGCCACAATGTAGTCAGGATATAAATCAATGGTATCAGATCAAGTGCTTGTTCCAACCGTCAAATTATGGTAGCCTACTTAGTTGACCGGTGTGCTGGGTGCCCCGATTCCCCCTCTTATCGAGACTATATGCCTCTGCACAAGGTAATAGACGGAACCAGAACCCTGTAAATGTAAGTGCTAGAAAATTGCATGAGATGAGTTGAGATGAGCGGTTCCATGTTCTAGGTACACTGGGACCTGTGTCACCCACTATCAGTGGCTACATTGATAAGAACCGTACGGGGTGGTATCACATCAAGCCGACTCCCTATGTAGCCAAGCGTTTATGATCCTAGCTCATAATGTCAAATATCACGTTCGGGGATGAAACTGAAAAAGACTTATGAGATCTATTGGAAATCGTATCATCGCTTGTAAATTGAATGCGATGCTCATATTGAATGTTTCGTGCGCTTTTCGAATGCACAATTTGATTGGTCGTAGTCGTTGCGAGTGGAAAGTGAAATGATCAAAGATTCAGCTGTCGTGCTTCCCTATGCATGGCGCTGTTGGATAATACTGACTGCATGTCCCCTTTGACGAAGTATTTCTTAAAAGTCTCAGCTGATTCTAGAAGTTTCCCAATATAACAGCCGCATCAAGTTTAAGGTCTATCGTAGCATACATCATTTGTGGCTGAAGCAATGTCGGTATTGCTTGACGTACCTTAAATCCGAAAGGCTGATCGGTGCGCTACGGCATATCCAACAGTGTGAACACAACAGCTTATCGTGCTCCTACAGCACGCGAGACTAAGTGAATACGCCATTTTTATTGACCACAAAATAACGGAATCTCTCGTAAGTTTACATGGGTTCAATTGGTAATAGAACCAAGGGAACGACAAAGTCTAAGAAAAAAAAGAAGGAAAGAGACGAAGTGAAGTGAATAAATGCTTCTCAACGGCCACCCTTATCTAGGTATTACTTTCTACTAAGATCCACTCGTGATCGAGAGCAAGAGAGAGGAGTATTTGGATTATTCGCCCAAAAAAGTTGACAAAATGCAAAACAAAGTGCACGCGGCACAGGCAGACAACTGCATGATCTCTGGTTTAGTAATATTCCTCTAGGGCGACCACCTGATGGCCGCATCAAAAGCGAAGCTTATTAATGCGCACACTATGGTGTGAGCTGCTCATCTAAGCTGCTAATTTAACTCGCTAATCTAGTCTGCCATAGTGATGAGTTTGTCACCTAAGTACAATCGCATTACTACATATTTATGCTCTCTTGTGTGAGGTTCTACTGTTGCCCGAACTCCCTTGCGTCAAACTCGCGCCAAGGTGGACAGGAGATCATCGTTCACCAAGGTGAGGCATCATTGTCGATGCTATTGGCCCCTGCCCTGTGCAAGAAGTCTCGGGGGCGAAAGCAGCTCCGCTTGAGAAACTCGAGAGCATACTGTCGATCTCATACATGGGTGCTGTGACTAAAGAGGCGTTCAAAATCGTAGGCTGCCTTCTCCCGTCAGTAGCCAGCAGGAACGACGGCCCGCCAACCCGGCTGCGACGTTCGAGGAACTGTTTTCTCACAGGGATATACAAAGAAAGAAGGCAAGATATGAGTGGTCTTGAATGCCTCGTGATCGACTCAAGGCTGGCTGGATTCGCGAGTGAGAGGTCTTCCGAGTGTTGGTGATGTCATATGGACAGTCAAAACCCCAAACAGCCGAGCCTACGTGCTCTCAGTAGCCCTCCGTGATCTACGCGGGCATCGTATGAGAATTGACAGTGAATTACGGTGACCGGTCGAGGTCGGTATCGCACTCGTCGCCTCCGAACCTTGGCGCAAATCAACGCACACCGGCTTGGGTTGAAGAAATGCCAAGCCAAGTCTGCATCATGTCTTCTGCTAACCTCTAGATGCGGAGCATTCGGGTAGATCTCTGAAGCCATGGGGACCAGACCCTATAGCTAGCTACGGGCAGACATTGGCTTTGGGTCTCGGTGAAACCTCTAAAACATTGCCGTACATTGCCGTACATTGCGAATGTTCGGCGAATGAATACAGAACTGGCTTCGATGCACCCATGGCAGTCTCGAGAGGTCCCTTGATCCTGCAATTGGCCACCGCCTGATTGTTCCTGGCAGTGCACCCTCAGAGAGCCAGCGCCGTGGGACGCATTGTAAGCCAAGTGGATGATGGAGGATAACGAATAATAGAGTCGACGGAGTGGCAAGATTTGTCTCTCACGCTGCCTTGACCGAGTCCTTATAGGTAGGTTTCCGGAGGTTGCTGGACAAGAACTTGCAGAGACTGGATAATTGTACTAGTCTGCTACCTTGATCTTGGATCCAGCTAAGACCAGTCTTCAGGTGTTGAGAGCCTTCTTTCTGAAACGCTCGGCTTGTGATAGATCATGCCGGAATGAACCCCATCTAGATTCGATAGGTGGGCGTTCTAGCTGACTGGCCGACAACCGCTAGATACGCCACTCAAATTGGTGCGTTGACCGACTGGCCCAGAGCAGATAGAGGCCAAGAGGAGTGGCGAGATAGGCCATTCAGTATAGATGACGTCACGAGAATGAGTTGTCTTGCTGTCTCACCCGGCGGCAGACTCGCTGCCGTGCCCATCCCCATTTGACTGCAGAGAAGGGACGTTAGATTTCGGTCGGCGGCCTCTCTTAACCTTGTGACGTTGCGCATTGCCCAAGACATCATTTGGTGAAGCTTCCCGAGTGCTAAGAATCGTATTAGCTACATATAGGCGCCCGGACAGAAATCATGGTTATCATGAACGACTTACTCCTTGTCCTTCAATCTTCGGCGTTTGATCATCTGTAGAGCCTCCTTACGCATGTTACACGAAAAATGCTCATTGAAATCGAGGGTGATGAGTTCCCACATGCAGTGGCGTTTGGTGTGTCGGTAATGATCAAGGAGGAAGAAGAGATACTCTTCCTGATCCTGGCGTCTGGCGTTGGCACTAACGCTGGGCACGGAACGGTCCGACGCCTGTTGGGTGCTGGCATGACTCGGAGAAATATAGCCCAAGCAATGGATGCCCATGCGTGAGCAGTTTTGGCCTGTTGAGCTTGTCAGACGGAGACTCGGACCACGAAAGCCATTGATCGACGAATAGACGCGACTAATTCAGCGAGGTACAAACTTACATGAGGGACGCCCCTCATCACAAGGCATCTTACGAATTTGACAGGTCTTGCAGCCAGGCTCCGCGTGCTGGGGTTGAGAGGTCTGCAATTGAGGCCTCGTAGTCATGACGACGTGAGAGGGATTCGGACGAGCGACAAATGTCAGGGGCTCCAAGGAATCCGACGTTGGAGAGGCGGGCATGGAACTCGAGGCGGGAGGGTTAAGTACATCAGCAAGATGGGGGGGCGTAGGGGGGTGACTCGAGCGCGACGAAGACATGTTCACATCGTCATCCGGGTCGCACAGCACATTCTGAAGGTCCATGACGGAACAGCGGCTGGGCTTGGGATCGGAACGCGGGGTAAGAGTGGCATAGCCATGGCTGGCATTGCTAACGAAGCTTGAATTACTGTGATTTCTGTCGTGGTTGCTGCCGCCGAGGACGCCGAAGGTGGCGGGATGCGAGGGTGTTGGCGAGGGCGATGGAGGAAATCTGAGCGCGTCATGACGGGAGGCTGCAGCGGTTGCAGCGGGAGGACCCGGCGTGGAAGCCGAAGGCACACCCGACAGCGGAGCCGGAGCTGGACCGGCAGCCAGGCGGCGGTAGTAGGTTGGCGGCGGCGGATGGTTGACAGAGAAGGAATAAGGTTCGAGGCGGCCGGTAGCATGGGCGGTGTCATGGCGCGACGGGCGAGCCAGCGGCAACGACATGGACGGGACTGAGGGCGGAGGAAGTGGAGGCGGAGGAGCAGGAGGAGGCTGAAGAATCTCTGAGGGTGAAGAAACAACAGCAGCACCAGCAGCACCAGCCGCGGCAACGACCGGCCGGTTGTCGGCTGCGACGGTGACGGCAACGGCGACGGCTTTGGCGTTGGCGTTGGCGGGCATCCGCATCGTGTCTCACTTCCAGTTCCAACAGTCCACGTCCGCGTCCACACACTGCACACTTCCGCCGGGTGCGCGAGCGGGCGAGTAAGGGGAAAACCCAAGGAGGCGGAGACGAGACGGGATGGCGTTTGACACGTGGAGGAGGCTCCAACTTTCAGCCTCTTTCAAGCAAGGCGAAGCAAAGGCAGAGCAGAGCAGAGCAAAGCAAAGCAGAGCAGAGCAGAGCAGAGCAAAGCAAAGCAGAGCAGAGCAGAGCAGAGCAAAGCAACCATAATTACCTTGCTGTATTCGTACCCGTACGTACTCCGTACAGTAATTAAGCTAAGGCATCCGTAAGCTAAGCGCCCACTCACTCCTTTCGCATGAGCCTGGCTGCGCTCGCTTGGCTTCGCCTCGCCTCACCTCGCCTCCTCTGCACGTCCAGTCTCCTCTCCTCTTCTCTCTTGTTCCTTCTCTCTCTCCTCTCCATGTGTCTTTCCTCAGCGGTAACCAGTTGCCAGGACTGGACTGGACTGAACTGGATTGGACTGGGCTGGACTGGACTGGAGCAATAGACGGAGACATGGGCTTGTCGAATGTGGGCTCGAGGATAGGCTAGGGCCGGAGACTGTGACGAGGGGCGGAGCACCATCAATCACCAACACCACCACCGCCAGTTGGCAGTTACCTTGGGTATTGGCCGGTGCTCTTTAGGATAGATCACAGACGGTGAAAAGTCGGGGCTATGGACATCTTTCTAAAATGTGCTTCAGTTTCCGTAACCTGTGAGCCCTAACTCCAGTCTGTATCTGTACGTATCATTCACTACTGGCTCTCCGTATGTACGAAGCAGCTTTGACTCTTGTGCCTTGTTTGGCGGCTACCATAGTAGTAATAGCGTGGACAGGAAGAAATGACATGGATGATGCAGCGTGGCATGACGGCTCACGGCGGTCTGGACGCGTCCTTCTCCATCTCTCACCTCCCCTACACGAGGTACGTACAACCAGAAGATCCACTCTCGGTCCTAACGGCAGGGATTTCCCCCAATCAAAGTCCGGGCGGTTACGAGCCACCCAGTCTGCTGACGAAAACGACTTCTCATTGGCTTCCCTAATTCGGTCCATTTCGGCCAGGTCCGCTCAACGGCTAATTTGCGGCTTCCCGCCGTTGTCACCCTGATGAGAAGCCTGGAGTCACCTTTCCTACCTTACCGTGAGTGTGTACGGAGTAGGCATGTGCTCCGTGCCTTTCTCAGGCAGGTACGTACCTTACCTTTCCGCTTCGTGGCGGTGGGTACGTAGCTTGGGCGCCTTAGGTGCAATGGACTTAACAGTTCCTCTCTTCTTGTTCCTGTCAGTCTCACTCTCAAGTCTCACCCTCAAATTTCACTCCCAAATCTCACTCTCAGATCTCACTCTCCACTTCAGTCCCGCCTATGCAGTCCTGGCAATACCTATCTCACCTTGTGCTTGTGGCTCTTTCCCTTCCCTGTACCATTCGCCACCCCCTTCCCCCTCCTCTCTGTCTCCTCGTTTCCATCAAGACTCGGAACTTTTCACTCACGTGATTATGTACAGTCCTGGGAATGGATACTCCGTACCAGGCCCCTCCTTCAGCCCACAAAGGCCATATCGCGGTTGTTTGGTGAAGTAACTTGGCGCAAAGACACATGAACATCTTCTTAAAAGAAAGCCAAGCCTTCTCTTCCGAAGAACGATTCCTGTCCATTGGGTTTTCAGTTTGCTCTCTACGAATAGTGGATGGAACTTCATCCTTTTCGCATGGGCGTTATCTCCATGACCCCGTCTCTGAACCAGAATAAAGGGACTGTTCTGCATGCCCCTTGCATCCAACCATGTACATATTCTCACTTGATTGAGACCAACAGGCATGGTCGCTTTTAAGGTTAAATCCTGCCTGCCCCCCCCCCCTTTGACACAATCACAGGGGAGCCCCGCGCGTTTGCATCATGGCTACCTGATGGAAGAACCTTTTGACACTTTGCCTCTTGATTCTCATGCGGGTCTACTACGCCGTAATCCGCTGGTTAAGGCACATACCAATCGCTAGCAATGGCATCCAGAACCCGCGCTTGAAAGCATACATAGGTAGTATCTACCTGGGTGAAGTGAGACAGCGGAATGTAAGAGATTTTTGTTCCTTAGAGCCGAATGCAAGTGACGGCCGTGAGGCTGACAGTTGTGCAGCTGCCGCCCTCACTTGGGTTGTGATTGCTTTTCACCAACACGCACGTTGGCAATGACATGCATTCAGATACGATTACAAACCACTTTCTACTACGTTCCATCGAGATATGTGCCCGGGTTTGCTTCCCGTGCCACAGCTAGGATAGTATGACAAACGTAATGTTATTCGAGACTGCCATCAAATAGTATTACTCCTCCGATGTCCTTACCCATGAACGAAACTTTGACCCAGAACTCATGTCTACAGGACACGACTCGTCAACAATATTGCTTTTCTAGGATTCTCATGGCGAGATCAGCCTCATATTCATGGCTTAAACGAATTGAAAAAGATTGCACGCCCTAGCCTTTCTGCTACTCGATGTCGAATAACTTTCGAGGCAACCACTTGAAAGAGTCTCATCAGCCACGCATGATTCAGAGCTTCGCAAAGCGGCGTTTAGGAATCAGGTTTCCCACGTCTAAGTAGAGGAATTCTTAAGTGAGTCAGTGTCCTTCTTCATAGAGTAGTCGAGAATTCATGCTGAGATCCCAATAACTACAGTCTACCTATAAGTACAAACAGTAGACGGGACTAGGTTCAACACAGCTCAAGCAAAGTGCCGCAGAGATGAGCAACGTCATGTGATTGAGCCAACTATAGCTCTGAAAAGGGAGAGAGGATTGCATTCTATACGCCACCCTTCTGGCATAATATGATTGGAAGCACGGCTTTCTTTTCTTCAGAATCATACACGAGAATGATCTTCACCAAAGCCGCAGTACCTTCACTAGGCTAGCTATCATGTCACGCACAGTATGCCACCGCTGTTGTCAAATGCTCGGTACCTTTTCTGGGGCAATTCTCTTCTGAATGTCCTTGCCATCACTTATTGGAACCCTAGACACAACTTCCGACACAGGAGTCTCAGCCTCTGCGTCTTGAGATACTGGCTGGGCGAACTTTTTGAAAGTGTGTTTGTCAAGCTAGACATATGTTAGCATGTATCGAGATTTCTGGCCTTTTGTGGTCTAACTCACTTTCCAAACTGCCCACATGTAGCCAAGCATGACGAAGCAGCAAACTATCATGACTATGCACCCTTTCCGCCAGTATGGTGCTTCATCGGCAGAATAAAACACGATGCCCCAGAACGTATAGAGAGTCAAGCTCCCAACGTTCATGCAATAAACCGTGACGCTGCGCACAGCGTCATCGCCACTCCTCTGAAGGATGATACTTGCCCACCCAAAAATGAGAGGGTTGACCATATAAGCAGTACCGGAAAGATAAAAAGCAAAGAATGTGCCAGCAAAAGGAATATTGGGTATGATCAGTAAGATGGCACAGACTAGCTGTAGAACGATTGCCAGAGTAGCCATGGGGATGCGAGTGCCAGTTACATCCATATGCCAAGCAGCAAACATGTTCGAAACAATCCCAACAGCTTGAACCCCGAGAGGATACGTGTTGATCTGGGTCTGTGAGAAGTGGGACGATTGATACTTGAGCCAAATGAGAAAGTTGTTTTGAACTGCCCAAGCTTCCAAGGTGGCGCATACTGGAGACCAAAATAAGAGAATCCAGCTTATGCAGTGTCAGCTGAATTCAAATTGCAATGGCGCTTACAAAGCTTACAAAGTGGGTGACATAGCCAATCGTTTCATCAGTGATATGGGACTGATACTATGCCCTCCTTCTTTAATAGGCGGGAGGCGGCTGACCGCCAGCTTCTTCTCTGAGTCACTCAAGTACAATGCCTGAGTGTTCTCTGGAATATCAGGAAAGTAGTAAAAACCGAAGAATGCGACTGGAAGAGTGATAATGCCATCTTGGAGCCACTTAGCGAGCTTCACTTTGACTTTGATGGAAGTATCTTACCAATGAGGAACACCCACTGCCAGCCTCCGAGGCCACCTAGTCCACCCATGCCTTTGTAGATAGCTGCCATCATAACTCCCGCGAACATGGTCCCGACTTGACCAGAAGCAGTGAAAATGGCCGTTCTCTTTGCAATTTCGCTAGGGGTATACCATGATCCAATGATGTAAATAGTCCCTGCATATGTGCTAGCTTCAGCTAATCCAAGGGAAAACCGAACGACACACAGTTGTGTTACGGTCTTGACTGTAGCGCTGACCATGGTCAACCTTTTATTGACATCAGCTTTTAATTTTCGAAGTTCCACGTGTAAAATTTGAGTGAGATGCTTCAGGTTGTCACTTACGCAGCCCAAACTACAACCATCGACGGAAGCCAGATTCTTGGCGGGACCTTTTGAATAATCAGCCCGTGAGGGATTTGACCAATCGCCATGCTTCCGTAATGTTAGTTACTGCCAGATGCTATCGCCAATGCCATGTTGTCATGAAGTAACTTACCCCGCAGTTGTGACCGAAAGAACAGTGTTGTAATCATGTCCTGACATGTGAAGAGCCTCGCGCAGCCCGGCAACCTGTCAAACAATTCAGTACACCTCGGAGAGATCAGGAAGACGTCTTTGACTTACATAGGCGTTGGCAAAGGCGGCTCGATCCGTAGGCAAGTAAGTACAACGGAAGATTATCTCTAAGAATGGTTGACTTGACAAGCGAACGTACCTAGAAAGTTGAAAAAATAACTTAGACAACAGTATGTCTGTCAGGAAGATCAGCAGGCAATCGAAGTCAAGCAAGCAAGCTTCCTAGCAAATACCAAAATAAAAAAGTCTGATAAATCAGTCAGATATCAAGTAGCAGCCAGAGAACGCATGGAGCGGGAGATTTCGACTCACCGATTTTCTGTACGAGTCGTCTTTCTTCCTTAGTTTTGGCCCCTTCTCCAAGGAAGAAAGCTGCAAGACTCCGGTCAGACTGATTCCAAGGTAAGCTCTGCACCGCAGCGCAACGCAACTCACTTCTGACTTTCTCTCCGACGGATCTCTTGTTAGTCAACATGATTTCGGAGGTCTTCATTTTCAGCATTGCTACACTTCAATACTTTTCTGGGGCGTTGACGTGAGTGAAGAATGAAAAAGGGAGTCGACCACATCACAACACGACTTGCGTGGAGATCATATGATTAACCGCGTCCCCGCTATATTGGCGATTATCTTGAAAATCTGATAATTCGACCCGGGAGGATGCTCGCTGGGGTTTTCTCCGAGATAGCCTTGCCAAGAATTCGATTCGCAGGCGAACGGAAAATCTTGCTGAGGTAGTGATGGCTGACTTCCTGATCTGGAGAACTTGTCGTATAAGCGACCTTTACCGAGCATCACATCCTTGCAATCACAGTCAAGTCGGGATAAAGTCGAGTCAGATCCACGGTTTCCACCAGCCGTTTTGACTTATCGGAGAGATGGCCGGGAACACGAGGTGGCCGTCTTCGTGCTCGGCGGAGACCATGCTGACGAGCTTTGCGGCCAAAACTCGTTGGTCAACGATTCATAAACACTACTACCCTGTGTGGATTATAGAAATAGGTTGATGTTTAACCATGTATAATAGTTGGAAATCCTCACCCTGTTTCACTGTTGCTAATTGTTTAGTCAGTGGTGTATACCTCCTGTCAAATTGACACGAAGAGCAATTTAATCGTTGGTGCGAAAGCTGCCACCTTTTTCGTTTGTTCACTATGGGCACATTGAGTATCTCCACACCTTACGAACCTAAAATCTAAATGTGTGGAGTTTCATCCGAATCTCCGAGCCTCCGAGCCGAGCGGCGAACTTGACCGATCAGCGAACATGGGCAATGTCTTTGGTCTGTGTCGGGGTCTCTTCAAATGAACCAACACACATGCCCCGTAGCTTGTCTTTCTTCAAAAAAATTCTTTGGGAATATATTTCGTCAGGTGATGCAGCTACTATTACTGCAATACGTGACCATCCCTCTGCGTGGTCATCGCCATTCATACTACATAATTGCTCACTCATTTCCTCTGCAGCGAAGGCTAGGTGATCAATGTATTAGGTAGGTAGGAGGTGGTGCCACAGCTATGATACGGGGAAGCTTGATCATGGCTTAGCGGAACTGTATGAACTGAACGATCCAACCGGCCAAGTCGCGCCGGGCTGGCGCAATCACTGATAGAAGGGCGCAACCGGCGTTAAACAATGAAACAAACATCACTGACAGAGCCTTGGCTCGGCAGTCCGCTCCAATTTCGTTTGCCTTCCTTTCTCAAAGTGCGAGTCGACGTTTCTTCGACTCCACAAGGATTTTACTATTATCCAGGCATCCCCAACAAAAGTGTTCAATGAATGACATTGCTGTTTTCGCAAGAACATCAACTGGATGCCAATATATGTGCCTTACCGTCATCCTTATACCACCTGCAGACTTAGCCAAGTCCACAAACTTTCGGGGTTGGGGAAGTGATGGTGCACAAGCTGCAACATACTGGCGCGCAGGCAAGCCAAACGCCTACCTAGATTATAATAATTTCAACACAGAGTGTCGGAACTACTTTGGAAGATGCGTGCAAGTTACATTAGCTTAAGATATATTTTATCGCTCTATAGCTATCCTTTTTTAGCAACTTGAATTAAAGTTTGAGAGAGACATAGACAAGGTCAAATCACTTATATCAATGTTGCTCTTCTCCCTTCGAGTATCACCGGATTTGGGTTAGTTTAGCTAGGAAAGACTACGAATAAATCCCGCCTAGCTACCGTATTAAAATCCTACTTTTATTTTGTAAACGACTATAATACTAATAATTCTTATCTAAATACATTACTTTTTAATATATATTTATTATTATATTATAATATTATATGTTAAAAATAAAATTATTTAAGTATTAGAACTATATAGAATATAAGGGAGTCTTATAGTATAGTACTTTAAAAGAACTATTAATACTTCTAAAAATAATATTTTTATCTCTTTTAATCGGCTTAATATAGACTTAATTAGAAAAATTACTATTTATAAACTAAGTATAATATTAATTAGATTAGAAAAATAGACTTCCCTAATCGTTTTATATTATTATATTTAAAAATAAATTATTAAAAAGGCTCTAGTTTAATTTTAAAAAGTATATATCTAATTAAAGTAAAAATGCGCGCTATTAAAACCTCTGTTTTTAATTAGGGCCCCTCTCTTTATATTTTATTTTAATATTACGACTTAATATATATAATAAGGCTAGGGCCGCCCCATAGGACTAATAGTAGCTATTATGTTATATATATATAAAACCGAACGTAAAATAACTTCTTTTAAAATAAAAAAACTATAAAATAAGTATATAACTATAATTATATAATAAAATAAAAAATAAAAATCCGTAAATAAATAATTATAAATAAGTAAAATAAACGACTATTTAATAAATAGTTAAATAATAATAAACAAAAATATTATAAAAAAATATATTTAAAAACAAGACTTATATATATAATATAAACTTAAACTAGGCTTAAGAATAGACTTTTTATAGCTTTTTTTAAAATTAACTTATTATTAAATTTTATAATTATTTTTAACTATTTTTATTAAAAACCCCTTTTAATTAGATTATAATTAATTATTAAAGCTTTATTTATTTTATAACTTATAAATATAGTTTTAAAAAGGTTATTTATAATTATAATACTATTTATTTAGTACTCGTAGCCTTAATTTTTATTAATATACTTATTATAACTAACTAGCTATAATACTTAATTAGCTTTTTTATTATTATTTTTACTTAATTAGCTTTAAAAAAGAACTACTAAGACTAATCGTCTTACTCTATTTTAGTATTTAAAAATAATATTTTAATTAAAATCCGTTATAAACTTTATTAAAGAAAAAGTTAAAAAAGAGGAAGGAAATTTAAAAAAAATAGTTTATTAAAATAGTAAAAGTATTTATTAATACTATATATTAATATTATATAAATAATACTAAGAACTGGCTAAGTAGCTAGGAAAAATAGAATATAAAAATAAATATATATAATTATTTAAGTATAAAGCCTATATTAAGTTATAATAATATTATTTATTTAGTTTAAAAATTAGTTTAAGTAGAATTCTCTTATAATTAAACTTAGTTAGTATATTAAAAAGTTTTTTTTTAATTTAATGAACTAACTACTAACTATTAACTTATTAATACGTAAGACTAATATAAACTTAATACGAGGGTAAAGTAAGTCTTAGAAAATCGAATAGTAATTTTCTAAATTAAAAAGAAGCGTAAAAATGAGAAAATATTTATCTTAGGAGTCTTAGGTTAGGGATTAGCTGCCAAATTAGAGATGATACGAGTTTTATAATAAACGTTTAAGACCGCACCGGCGTCCAACTCACTGAGGCATTATGTTCTATAGAATCTGTATAAAGATTTGTTAATTCATTAGACAAATCCCGAATCTAGCAAGGGTAGTTGAAAGTGAAAACCGGCCAATGTAGATCTGTTCGTGTCAGCTCCACTTGATGAAATTGAGATTCGGGCTTCCCGAAACTTAAGTTTCTGCCACCTTGAACATTATCATTTCTCCTTGGCTCCTATAAGTACTAACCTGGGGATCGATTGTTTCATGAGGACTAAATCTTTCGTGTCCTCACGATATACTATATTGTACTATCTTAGGCTTTCCAGATTTTTTGATTGCATCGCAACCATGGTCCATATATCTTCGATCCTAGTTTCATTCCTTGCCGGTGCTGCTGTTGCCAGTCCGCCACGTGACGTCCTAGGACGTCAGGTTTCTGGAGATAATGCTACTCTTGCCGTCACTGGTATCAGATACACTGGAGAGGGCTGTCCTGTTGGGTCCCTGAGTGGAAATCTCGACCCTAGTGGTAGCTTTGATGTGCTATATGAAGCCTTGAACACCACGATCAGTACGTTTTTCGAGAATAAATGCAAGCGCCTTATACTAACCACTGAATGTCTCTCTCAGAGGCTGGAGACCACAAAGTAAAGGTCAAGTGTCAGATCGAAGTCGACATCCAGACAGCTGCTGATAGACAGCTGGTTATTTTGAGGTATGCATCAAGATCTTCACATGGCGACTCTTCTGTGGCCAAACGTTTTAGAAATGTTTGACACACTGACAATTCGCAGCGGAACCTATAAGGGACACGTCAGATTGACCGAAGGGGCGTGGGCCAAGAACCAGAACCAATACAAGTTCAAAGGAAGCCGGGGAACTATCAACCTGGAATGGCCCTTCAAAGCACCGATCGATGCTGCAACCGAGTTCACCAACAATCTTTCCACCGAATTCCAGTCTGGTTGCAACTCTAACGGAGGCAAGTTCACTATGATCATCAATAACTACTTGAGCATGAGTAGTGATGGCCCGGGCGAGGGTGAGATCTCTATCACAGAGCTTGATGGTGTCGTCAAACAGTCAACTAAGCTGGCCACTGCGAAGTGTCCGTAGAGGGCATTATTTTCGCGTTCAATCAGAGACAAAGGAAGACTCGTCCACTATGAGCATGACAATCCTTAATACCAGAAATACGGATGTTTCTCTTATTCAATATGGTCAAGATCGATTCTGCATTGAAACAACTAAAGTGGGAAGATTAGCAAAAAGATTGTTTCAACTATAACCCCTGACTTGGCCCTTGTTGTGCAAAGCAGTCTGAGTGCTGTCCAAATTCATGGTTTGACTGTGTGCTATGTCTATAGTCTACCGTAGTTGTCTCAGTTCCAGTTAAGGATCTGCCCTCAATGTTTCTACTTATGGTCATAAAGCTAGGGAATATTGGTAAGGCAAATGATCTCAACCTTGAGACTTCAAGCATGGGCAGAATATTGCATTAGAACATGAGACCTCGAAGTGGACCTACCAGTCATTGGCTTTGTCCCTCTGGGGTCCAGACCGTGTGAAATACTTATACGGCTGTTTCTGGTATTACGTGATGACTTTTTAATACTTATAGTCCAAGCAAATACTCCGTGGACTACATAATGACCTTTTGGAGTCAACCTGTACTTTCCTCGATGAAATGAGCGTCGTA